GATTTTTAAAGGAAGGAGATTAGCCCACTTAACCCCTTGTGGCGAAGGAGTGTATCTTCCGGGCTCATTCACTTTGTTTGTGATGATGTTCGCTAAGCGTTACAACTTCATTTCATCAATGGCTCCTTTCGTCAATAGGACGCATGGCCCTAAGTTGTTCATAAGAGAATTCCCTGCTCCTTCTACAGATCAAGAAGAAGAGTCCATGGCTATTTGGGAAGCATTCCTTACCCCCAAACTTCTTGTCAAAATGCTAAGGCCCTTCGAAGAGTCATTATACCCTTGCTAGCTATCATCCCAATATAGTTTCTCGACATTTTGGCATAAATCATATAAAACCTAAGACACTTTTTTAGAAGAAAGGACATCTATACCTCCACAAGATATTTTCTACTGAATAGGGATATAAAAGGCATATGGCTCGATATACTAGAAAAACCATGCTCACACCTATTTCCTTTCGACCATCCACTTACTGCATGCAAGAATTTGACACTTGGTGGAAGAATTACTACACTAACAAAATATTCGATGTGTCTGATTTTACTAGACATATAACTTGTGCTTTTGCTTCTATACATGCCAACTTCAAGAAATGTATTTCCACTCATATCAAGGAGATTCATGCGTTCCAAAAGTACTTTGAGATTGCATATACACCAGACAATGTTAGCCGAACCATCTGCGATGCAGCAGTAACTTTGAAGGAAAAGTTTATGAAAAACATTCCTAATCTTAGCCTTCCTCCGTGTGTTAGACTTGAACATCAGTATGAGCTAGCTTTCAAGCTCGAACCTCCAAGATTCCCAAAATTTCCAACTGCTGATTTTGACTTGGCATTCGTACCTCCATTCCCAAAATGGTTTGTATATAGGTCTCACCTGAAGGTTCTACAACAAGATTTTGCAAAAACCTGCTAAAAGGGTGGTTCCGAATAAGCATATACTAGATAGTTTCAAAGGTCACCTTCATGTCGATGTAGAGCATGTTCAAATACTTTCTCCAATACATGAGTGTGGGATGGGCGAAAACTCTCGACTTGGTTCAGTCGAAAAATTCCCTCAACTGCCTTTCTAACTTTGCTTTCTTTCATTTCTTTAGCAGTTGATCAAGAAAGGCTTCTGCTTCCTCAAAGGAAGGCAAGCAAAGTGAAGTGACCACCATTTCCAAGACCACCACAAAGGTACTTATTCGAATCATAAAATATTGTTATATGTCTATTCGAAATTTATTAATACCTTTGATTTTTCAGTTAAGTAAGAAACCACCTCTTACTCCAAAGAAACACAAACCAACTCAACCAGAAACCGTCCAAATTGACTCAGGGTCTGAAGATCTGTCTCCAAATTGTTTGAGACCTGCTCCCAAGAAAAAGAAATCCAAAACTTCCACCTCTACCATCCAAACGAAGATCACCATCAAAATTCCACCATTGAACTCAGTTGCACAAAGGGCAATAGATGTCAAATTTCCAACAATAAACATTTCTATTGATATTATCGAAAGTGATATTTCTAGCCCCAGGGCTACAACAGTTAAGGTATTTCACTTGATTTTATTTCTTTTTCTTCGTTGCAATTTTAGTTTTTGACTTGTACTAAACTCTTTTCCTTTACAAGGTGACTAGATTGACACTGTGACTTCGAGCATAAAGTACATTCCTGGGAGCACTGACTCTCGCTCTATTCATCCTGTTTCAAATAAAGGATTAAACAAAGGGTCAAACAGCTAAACAAATCCATTTTTTGAAGTTCAACAACCAGTTTCTCCTCCTACTTCACCCCATTCAACCGAATCGTTAGAGACTAAGACTGAAAGTGATGAAGAAAGTCCTATTACCATGGAACTTCCAGGCACTGAGAACTAAGACAAGGACCAACCAGAGGATTCTTCACCAGTAATCCCCCACCAAGACGAAGGCGAAACAATTGATGAAGATGTGCATATAATAATTGCCGATGAGGAACCCCAAAGAGAAGAGGAACTTGATCATGGCGAAGAACATCATGAAAAAGGAGGGCTTCAAACTAAAAAGGACCAAGCGGAGGATGCATGTGACACTAACCAACCCTTGGGGTCAGTTAAGAATTTTAGGACCTTCTCGAATGTCACTCCCACTTCTCTCTCTCAAGAGGAGTTAGATGACTTGAAAGCAACAAATCCTACTAGATACCTCAGAGCCATGATGAGCACAAGGGAAAGTTCATCAGACAAAGGTGCCACTTCTTTGACTGCCTCTGGTGGTTGTTCCTCTCACAAAACTCTTGATCATGGTTGAAATAACATGCATAAATATCATCGAGATAGAATCAATAAAGTCGCCATCGAACGTTTTTTATCCCACATGAAGGGAAAGGTAAACATCGAGTAAACCTGAGAAGGGTGAAATCATGATCAAACGGCTGAGAGATCAGGTAAGGGAGTCAGTTATGCAAGGGGAAGATATTAGCACCCCACACGTTCGTAGTACTCTACGGGATCCACTCTTGTTGTTCTAATCAAAGGGTGTGTTCAAATCTACATCTTATGAGCTAAAAGAAAAAATGCAAAGAGGGAATGCATGCAAAAGAAAGCACGGGAAAAAGAAGAAAGTATTTACAAAGTTTCGCTTGGTTGAGCCCCGCGACTAGATGCCTACGTATCCATTTTAAAGAATCAGAATAACGTAGTTCGGCTCAAATGTTTCAGTTTATTGTATTTTTTTTATGAATGATATTAATTTCGCTTTCTTCCGCGGCTTGACCTTTGGAGACTCAAGCGTCAGCACATAAATGAATTAACATGTTCTTTTTGAAAGTTGAAAGAAAAGGCCCGAAGGAAAAAAGAGTTTGCATTGGTTGATGTTCTTTTTTACCTTGAAAAAGGATTTTGAAAGTTGTTAGATGTTTTATGCATTTGCCAAGAGAAAGGAAGTTTTAGTCTTATGGATGCAGAAAGAAAGAAAAAAACTAAGGGAAACTATCCTAAACCTAATCACTAATGTTATCATACAATGATGGTACTATGGTTCAGATTAACAAAAAGGGAAATATCTACCTAATGTTAGCATACATAGTTTGAAAACCTAATGTATATCCCGATTATATCCTCTAGCTAAGAATGAACCAATATGTCCTAAGGGAACATGGTATATACAAGGATAAAAAGCAAACAAGCAATCAACAAGCTCAATAGAGCACACACATGTCATGAGTAGCGTACGCTAGCTCAAGTGAAAAGGCCTAACCAAGATATCAGATGATCGAGGTAGGTAAAAGGGGGAAGTTCCTGACCATAGATATCTCATCTAGGCAAGAAGGGGTTATGAAAGCTACTCTTAACCAAGGTATCATGTCACCAAGGCAAGAAGTATAGAATGGGGGAAGTGAATATCCAAGGCAACTGAGCACCTAACCAAGATATCGAGAATTGAGGTAGGAGATAGAAGAGAATATGAACAAACACAGAGCATTAATGTCGCCCGACATGAGCTCAAGACAAAATGTGGGGATTGGTCACAAATCCCTGTATTCCACTTGACTAACTCGATAAAAAGAGTAAGCACAATTCAAAGCATCAACGCACAACGCGAGCTACGAATGACACAAACTAGAAATGGTGGGGTCGATTACGGACCCTCTACCCGCCTTGTCTCCTTTTGAGGACTTATCAATAGGGAATGGGAATGAGACCCCTTCATCGAGGTCTTTGGGCACAAATGTAAATATACAAAATGTCTATTTCAAGGTAGGTCTTTAAACAACCACAAATACAATTAACAAACAAGTGCAAAATGCCTTCTAAAGGACTTTAAACAGCGACTTCGAGTGCACGCTCTTTATTATCATACTTCTCATGATATCTAGAAAGCGGTAAAAATACAGAAAGATAAATCAGAATCAATATAATACCAAACGAACAAGAGTTCATAGCAAAGCAAGCAAAGCAGAGAAACCCATAAAACTTCGAGCAAGCTTCATCAAGCAATAGAGAAAAGAGTCTGAAATCAAATGTTTAGAATAAGTGTCGAAGCATCATTGATGTGAAAATAATTCACAATCAGAAACTCAAGCGTATCCGCATATCATACAATAATCCTGCATAAGACTCAGATCTTGACAAGCAAAAGTGAATCACAAGTCTCAAGTAATCAGTTAATCATGAACCAATTCCTAAGAATCAAATAAAAAAATCTAACAAGTTTTTATTGATTATATAATTTTTTATCATAAAAAATATAGAAAAAATTAACAAAGAAAAATCCCTAAATCTAACAAGAAAAATAAGAGAATCAGGGGGGTGTTAAGCTAATCCCAGGATATATTGTAGTAAACTGGACACTAGGCCCACCTGTGGAAGATCCAATGACATTTTTTTATGTTCAAGACTCTGCATCAAAAAAATATGGGCCTAAGGACTAAGTTAATCGGTTCATGGGTCATCAACAAAATTTACACTCAATTTCTATTTTCAGATTTTATATTTATTTATCAATACAATCCATTTGATTTTAAAAGAAATTAAAAGAAAAAAGCAAATAAAAGAAAGATAGAAAGAGGATTAGGGTTAAGAAAGTGATTAAGCTTCTACGTGAAAGGACTTCTTCATTCTTCTCTAAAAACACACAACGGCGGTGATCTCCTCCGTGCATTGCCTTCTTCTCTAGCGATTCATCTCCGATTTTTCTATCTAAAACCATCACCCTCCGCTTGCAAACGAAAGGCGCCCGGACAATCTTCTCCTACTCCGCTTGCTCTATTTCTGTTCTCAATGTAGCCGTCGGCGTTCAACAACTCTATCGCGTTTCAAAGCTCCGTCTCAATTCCAGTTTGCAACGGTATCATAAAAACACGAGGAAAGTAAGAAGCAATGGAATCATGAGCGACTTACCTGCGAAACCTTTTAGAGATTGCGCAGCGATATCTGATTTATTCTGTCTGTATTTTCTCACTTCATGAGTTTTCTGCATAAACCTGTGTTAATTCCTGACTTGATTTTTACAGTATGATGACTGTTATGATTTAATCACATGGTTTGAACTGGTTTTTTACAAACTGTTTTCGGTTAGTGAAAAGCAAGGCTAGCTCATTTGTTATGTGTAGGGCTGAGCTGGTGCAAGGTTTTGTGTGCAGCATTGCACTCGTTAATTGGTGAATTGTATTATGCTTGACATTGTGTAGATAACTGTTTTTTCTGTTTAGATTTAACGCATGTTTTGGATTATCACAAGGAAGTTTGTAATGTGATGGAAGCTTGAGCAAGTTTGTCAACGACATGACTTTGAAGAAGAAGACGTGACAAGGTGGAATCATGGAGTTATGGCAAGGGTTTAGAAGCTATGATGAAGCTTATAATTAGGAGTAACATAGATTTTCTTTTTGTAATTTTTGTGATGTAAAGAACATGTAATGGTTTGAACTTGGAACTGAAATCTTGAATAATCATGAATGAATTTTCTTGTTTGGTTTTCTATGGAAATGTTGTAAGGTAATTTGATGTTTGAAATTGGATTTTGAATGTGGGACTTGAATGAATATATGGATGAAGAACATTTGAATGAAATTCCAAACCAAATCATGAATGAAATTTGAATGAACTTAGATAATCCTTGAATCCATGTAATCCATCACAAATCTTCCAATCTTACTCAAATCAGATTCTTGACACCATGATCAAAACAAAGTTTAAGAACCTTGATGCCATTCGACTAACTTGAGCACATTAAAAGCTTGAATGAATACTTCCAAATAATAACTTCAAATCAATTCTCACTTCTCAAGAAAACCAATTTCAAATCTTAGATCCACGTTAACTTGCATTACAAGCAATAATCAATTAAAAGAATAATGATAATGTTTAGAATCCACAAATCGTATCTTGTAACAAAATGACTATGCCTTGAGAGCTCCTTTGAAAATGAATATGGAACTTGAGACATGGGAGAATAATGACCAAGATAGTCTTAGCATGTGAATCCAATGAACCCAAGTTGATGAATTAACACACTCAAAGGCCACGCATAAGAACTCTAATCTTCTCGAGATGCACCTTGATGAAGAGCTGACACTGAGATATTGATAAGAAACCAAGCTCTAATTCACAAGCTCTTTATCTGAAACCGTAGAATTCACAATCCTAGTGCACTTAGCCCTTAAGGTAACTTTGATAAAGATGACTTTGTCTTTTGATGAACCTTGAAGAGATACCTTTGTAGCCTCAAAACACTCGTGAAAACCCTAGCTCCAGGACCACTAGTTTTATTGAACCCAAGTGCTTTATTGAATGAAATGTATGACTATGAAAATGCCCTAATGGTAAGCAGTTGAATGTGAAGCCTAAGCCAAATAAGAATACAATTAGGAGGGAAAATTTTTGGGTGCAACAAGGGTCTTCGCCAAATCAAGGGGAAAACCTTTAATGTTGATCTGATTCAAGTGCTAGAGAGCAATATTAATGCCTGCCATGGCATTAAAGAACTCTTGAAACAGGTTGACATACTAGACGTTCTGCAAGAAGTTGAGAATGTTATAGTTGACCTTGGGTTCCTCCTCGACAATCTCTCTACAGACTACTTCAAAAAGAAAGAAGTCTCAAACAAGATTGCAAACAAAACACGAACCCAAACGGCTGAATGAATTGCAACAACTGAGTCAACCACTAAGGCCGAAATATTGGAAAATCTTTTTCCAAACATGACAGAGAACTCAAGCACCGTGCAGACAACATCTCAATTTAGGAGAAGCATATTGAAAAATTGAAGGAGGACATTCAGAAGGCGGAGGATCGTCAGGACGCAATCCACAAACTCGATCACAAACAACTTGATGATGAAATCAAGGTAGGTGTCCAACATGTCGAAAAGGCCCAACATTTGGAGACCGAGATTGAGGACTTGAAGAAAAACCAATCTATTCGAGCACCGCTTGCTAATGTATGCTTCAAAGTATAAGCATATGAAGGCCTCTCTCCCATCTGAGTTTAACACTTGTTGAAATATGTTTTTCTTTGTTTTATGAATTCAAATATTTTGGTACTTTTTGTAATGCATGACTAGACCATTTTGGAACATTTAATCTTACCATTTTGGATTTTTAATTGCATTCAAATTTACTCTATTGGTATTTTAACTTTTTGATGTATAAGCTTATATTTTTTCAAATATTTATCGTTTACGCTTAGAAATCTTTGATCTTCTGCCAATTCTTCAATTTCATAAGCATAGTTTGAAAAGGCTTGAATAACTTGGAATGGATATTTTCAATTTGGGGACCATTTTCCCAAAGTTATATCCTTTTGATATGTAGGTAGGATTACTTTCTAAACTAAGTCACCAGTCAAAAAGGTCTTAATCTTAACCTTTTTGTTATAGGATTTCTCTACTCTTTTCTTTTGCCTTCTTAATAATTCTAAGGCTTTTAGTCTCTCTTCGTCTAAATCAACCAATTCATCTAACATCATATTCCAATATGATTCCGATGGAATTTCATATTTTCTTTGTATCCTGGTTGATTGTAGACTTATTTTAACTGGTAATACTGCAGCATGACCATATGTTAGTCGAAAGGGTGTAGCATTGGTAGCCTCTTTATGAGATGTTCGACAAGCTCAAAGGATTTGATCCAGGGTCTTATGCCAATTCTTTGACTTCTTTCCCACATATTTCTTTATTAAACCAATCACTACTTTATTTTATGCTTCGACCTGACCGTTTTCTTGGGCATAATAAGGTGTGGATGTTAGTAGTTTAATTCCGACCTCTTTGGCAAATTCCTGCATATTTCGACTAGTAAACACTGACCCTTGATACGTTGTTATGGTATCAGGAATTCCAAACTTGTACATTATATTCTTTTGGATAAACTCAATTACAGCTTCTTGATCTACATTTTCTAAAGGAATGGCCTCAATACATTTAGTGAAATAATCAATCCATACTAAAATGTATCTTTGACCTTTTGAAGACGCTGGTCAAATTTCTCTAACCAGATCCAGAGCCCAATCTCTAAAAGGTCAAGGCTTGATAATAGAGTGTAGTTCGCTTGTAGGAACATGTTGAATATCTACATGCACCTGGAACTCCTGGCAACCCTTAGCGAACTCAATGTAATATTTTACCATTGTTGGCCAATACATGCCTTGTCTGAATAGTATCTATTTCATCTTGTGTCCAACCTGACGGGCTCCACATTCCCCATTGTGGACATTTGAAAGAGCCATATATGCCTCACTTTCACCAAGCCATTTGAGCAAAATTCCTTCAGGCGTCTTTTTGAACAGTTCGTTGTCCATTAGAATATAACTTAAAGTGTGGTACCTGATCTTTCGTTCTGCACATGTTGTGGGATTTTCCAGATAATCTACTATTGGCTTCCTCTAATCTGTTTGTGTTATGCTATCAATCGCAAAAATTTCAAAATTTTCCTCATCTGCATAACCCAACTTCGATATCTCTAGATCAGATAGAGATGTCGTGTTTCCATCACTCTCCATCGAACTTCGATCAAGTCTTCTAACTTCTCCTTCGACACCTTATATCCAGAGGCTATCTAGGCCAAGTAATTATCCTCTTGATTCTTGAGTCGAGGAATGTGCTTGATGGTCACCTACTCAAATTTTTGCAGCAACCTGTTTGCTACAACGAAGTAAATGACCAAATTTTCTTTGACACATTAATACTCCTTGGTTATTTTCTTAACCACCAATTCAGAGTCTTCTCTTATTTCGACCCTAGTTGCCCCCAATTCCAACAAGATATCAAGACCAGTTATCAAAGCCTCATATTCAACCTCATTGTTCGAGCAAGGGGGGCCATCTAATTTGTACTTGAATTTTGTTGGAATTTTATTAGGAGAAATAATAAAGACTAAGCCATTGGATTGACTAGACTTATACAAATCAAAATAAAAATCGCCACCGCGCTTTATTGTTTCCAAATGAATAGGAAAATAGTGAGTAACCCAAAAAGAGGGGGAAAGATTCAAGGTAAGGGGGGTTGGTTATGCAAAGAGAATGTATTAGCACCCTAAACATCTACGGTACTCCACAGGAACCTCTTTGTAAAATCTGTATATTTTGGCTATAAAATGTTGTATGTAAAATAGATGGTGGAGGTGAGAAAAGAAATATATTTTTAATGATTTTTGTATCTGCCGCGATTGCGAACCTTTAGTGCCTATGTACCAACTTTCTTGCAATAGAGGATCATGGTACACGTAGTTCACCTTTTAAATTAAAAAAAACACAAGCGTGTTGGTTAATTTTATAAGATAAGACATCATTGTCATTGTCCGTGTGGAAAACATACTTACTACTCACAATTATGAGAAAGGAGAATTTGCATCATCTCAAAGTGGAGGATATGGCTTGGATTTTAAAATCAACAATGTCTCACTCAACACCCAAGTGGAAAATATCTCACTTCACTACATATTGTAGAAGTATAGTATTTTGCATCACTACAAGGATTGACAAAAGTCTAATCTTTTGAGAAAAGTTTAAAGTAAAAAGCCAAAGTGGCAAAATGGTTTAAAATAAGATTGATTGACTTTTAGTCTTCTCAAAAAAAATGTCAAGGTATTATTAAGTTGATTAAAGTTTATTTATGAAAAGGGTTTGAAAATGCATGGACATAAGTCCAAGTTTATTATGAAAGTGGTTCAAGTTTGAAAACAAGAAGAGTTTTTAAAAAAGGAAGGAAAATAATTTTGAAATTAAAGAAGATGGGGGGAGAAGAAGAGAATATCCTAAAGCATAAGGTAAAAGTTAAGGATAAGAACCATCTAACCAACAAGAAGCCATTACTTGACATTATGAGTCAAGATAGATTTCCCATTCTTTGGATTGAAACCAAGCAAGCAAAGATACTAGACCTCTTAAGAGAACCAAACTTCAAATGTATTAAGTCTTCACAAAAATTGGGCAGAGTAACGGTTGTATATGGGTGAATTCTAAATTACAAACAAAGAATGTAATCACAATAACCTACACACAAAACAAACAAACAACCCAATGTCTTGAGGTAAACCTCAAGAACTCCATACAAAATATCAATTAAGGTCACAAGGTCTCCACAAAGGCCAAGGTTTCTAATCCTAAGTCCAAGAAGTCCAATACTCCATAATGCCAAGGATAGTAACCAAATAGTCCAAGCATCATTAAAGCTTTTTATGGTTCATGTTGATTATTAGGTATCTTCAAAAAGAAAAGAAAATCTCAAGTGAGCAAAATTAAAATGACAAGAATATAAAGGTGCTCAAGTGAACAAAGATAAAAATAGCATGAGATGTAAAATGCTAAAAGTAAATGGTGCATA